GTCATCATTCGTTTGAACGACAAACAGAAATGTGTACTTTGTCTATTTAAATGTGTCATTTGTCGTATGTTTCCATGTAGTAATACTACTTCAGGAGTATTTTTTAAATGAATAGCTAGCCACTTTGAAGTGTCAGAAAACCTTCATTAGCCAAAAGTCAGATACCAATTTTGATATCCAGTACGTTCTCTGTAGTACTGAACACTGTGTATACTTTAATTATGATAAATGTTTTAAGTATAAAATTAAAAAGTGTGTAAAGTTTTGACAGCGGAAATTCCATCACTGCAATAAATATGGGATTTTTTCGAATTCTGGAGATCCATTGTTCTTTGTTTTTTCACAAAATATGAAACTGAAGAAAGAAAGTGAACATTAGTGTTGTGTTGTTCGTGAACGAATCGTTCAAAAGAACGAATCTGTTGAGTGAACGTACCGAACTGAATCACTTCTGGAACTGATTCGTTCATTTCTCAGTTCAGTTGAGCTCAGCAGTGAGTGTGCAGGCCAGGAGTGACAAATCACTCAATGAACGAATCACTAGATGAACGACGTAACCCCGATCCCTGAGTGATTCAAATAATTTCTTCGTAGCGATACACTTTCGTAGGGACCGTTTTCTCCAAGCTAACGGCTAATGTAGCAGGAGACAAGCCACAAGCCACACAATTACACACCTCCCCATTGTTTTAACACACTTAGTTTCCAGGTAAACAAACTTAAAACGTTAGGCTGGCCAGTAATGAGACTCACCAGTGCAGGGCAGATGCAGCAGCAGCAGCAACAGAGAGAGACTGAGTCGGACTACGCAGTACACAGTCAGGGCTCCTCCTGCCAAGCACTGAACGATTTGGTAAACGAATCTTTTGAACAAATCTTTTTAATGAACTGATTTTAGTGATTCAGTAACATCTTAAGAACTGCTTTGCCCATCACTAGTGAACATAACGGTAAAAATCATGTTGAGCCGCGGTGATGTTAAGAATCAGAATCAGCACAAACAGAAGAGACAAAAGAAATGAAACCAAGTAAATACGGAGGGAAGGTGCAATGTTAGTACATTCTCCATAATTACGAACATTCTTTTACCAGCCTGATTTCTCTGACTCTTACTGGTGATGTTGCATTATTCAATAGTTCAAATCTAAAAAGTATCTTCTCAAATACAGTGTTGTAGTAGGCTGGGGCTTCTTGCTAACAAAAACGCAGATAAAAGAAGAGAGCTCTGCTGTTGTTACTTTGCAATGTATGTAGTTTTACTTAAAAGTAATACCTGCACAGATTGTAGATATATTTGCGACAGTGAAATTACATCTGCAGTTCTCTGTAACTGTTATTTTCATTGTCATGTCCTAATGTTGTTTATGATATTTAGGATTATTTTGTTCACTTAAACAATTAATATTCCTATTATTACTATTTGACTGCTCATCAGTTACTTGAATGTGCTGTCATCCGTCATCGGGACCTCTAATCAGCTGTCATCAGTTGATGTATTTTCCGTTGTGCAGAGGATTGTGGGTCAGAATAGCCAGAAAAGCATGCTGGCTTAGTACAACATCCTGGTATTTTTGGCATACTGCATTTGACATATGTACTGGGACATACTAAATCTTTCTCTGGCATACGGTTGTGTGGGTATTGGAACGCACAGACAGTTTGCCTCAGTTTATGGCCTTAAACACATTGTCTCATGACATGCTGGAAAATTCCACCCATTCAGCCCCCAACATGCCACAGTTTGTATTAGCAAGAAAAAGATAGTTACTGGTCACTGGTTTGTTAATGGGAAGGGAACAAAGCTCAGCTGGATGATCTTTGCTTGGATCAGAGGTGCGATGACATTAAATGGCTGAAGCTCACAGTCGAGCAGAGGTTAAAAGATCAGTTCATGAAGAGGTGCTAAGATGAGCTCCAGAGTGTGCCATCATGTGGCTTGTGATGTGAATTTAAAGAGGGCTTTAACTTTGAGAAATCTTCTTTGTAAAAAAACAAGAGGCTACTTATAATCTTCAAATAATTAACAACAGAATTCCTAAAATAACAGGACGATGGAAAGGTTTGGAAAGGAATATAAGATTTAGTAACTTATGTTAACAACCTGGGACATGAACAGCAAGAAGTATCTGCCACAATACTTAATACTGTAAACCACCTGTCCATGTTTAAAATTATTATTGCAGCTAGATAAACCAAGGTCAATGTGTAAACTAGGTGCTTTTTTAAGTAATATTGTTGCTCTCTTCAACTTCCTGAGACCCTAATTTTGTTTAGTGTGCTTTTTAATTTTTTTAATTCTCCTAGCTAATTGGGATGAGAAGGACCCATAAAAATATAAGCATTATGTTTGAACAGTAAGTAGTTTTTGAGAAAAACAGTGTCCCTTTATGGGGACAACAGGCTTATTTGTAATAGTCACAGGTGTGTAATAAAGTATAAAACTGGCTATCACAAAGCTCCAACATTGTTGTGCACAAACAAAATTGCGATCAATGCAACATTTGACTAATGTTTTATAACTTAAAGGGTTAGGGGTCACTGTTCAAGTCTAAAGCTGTCAGGACTGTTTATTTCAATGCCTGAACATGTGTGCAAAAGCAAAATTGCAAAAGAAAATCTAAAAAGCTTGTGATTTGTTTGTTCTCAAATAGGCACTTCCTTATTAACAGCGTCTTACCTTGTTGCTATTGCTAAAATTGGTCATATTTGTTGCTATATTAAACTACAAATGTTAACAAACATAGATAAACAAGTTTTAATAACATAACATTTGATCAGGTTTTGTACCTTGTCCACTTTTGTGTCCGGATCAGCTGGAGATTGTCGCTGCAAAGATGGCCGTCATCTTGTTCTTACATGGATTAGTGTATTGTGGTGTTACTACCACTAGATGGCACAAAAAAGTGTCGACGAAGGAGGACAGCAGGTCTAAGTTAAGAGGAATGAATGTCCTAAAATGTAATGTCCTTATATGAGGACGCAGAGTCGCAGGAGGGTAAATGACTCAGTTTGTGAGTAAATAAATCTGAATCGTAATCTGAATCTCACCATATCTTAACACTTTCAGAGCTCTGATTAAAGATCCCTCCCTGACATGTGTTAGGACATAAAAAATCTTTGTTTGGATTAATAATTTGTGTCTGATAAGCAGTGCCGTGCACAGACATTTTGCAGGGCAGGTGCTCCTGGTACAAAAGGCTCATGCAAAGTTTTTTAAATATCTATATACTCGTAGCAGCTGATACACACTCACTTTTATCATTTATTTAAAACAGGAAACAACAAAGAACACAATGCCACATTTTGCACACTTTAGTGGTCTATAAAGTAAATAAGCATTCTCAACAAATCTTCACACAAAATTGAAAAACACTGTTTTCTGAATAATAAAAACAAACATTCACCCTCCAACCGAGGAAGCCCATGTGTCCTCTTCTCCCTATTCTTCACTCTTGTTACTTTGCTTTCCTTTTTTTTAGGTAGTCACTTGCTTTTTAGGTAGTCACTTGCTTTTAGGTAGTCACTTGCTTTTAGGTAGTCACTTGCTTATTCGTATAATTATGTTCTAAATAAACGTTAAGATATTCTTAAAGAATACCAGAGAACTGACGCATGAGGTGGCTGCAGCTCTGCGCCCCTCCTCTCCTCGTCTGTGCTCCTTACACAGCGCAACCTCAAACTGCATGCCATTTTTGTTTAAATTTATTTTTAGGGATGCGACGTGGGGGTCATAAACATTATTTCAAATTGAGTCTTGGGTTCAACAGACACAAGCAATTAGGTGTTTTTCACTCTGCTCACACTGAGCAGTATGTGAACACAAATCTACCCGAGAGTTGGAGGGAGACAGTGTGGTTCTATGCCAGACTAGCTTACTTTTTGTGAAGCTTAATGGTGAGTTATAGCCTAAATTAGACTGACTGTACTGAGATGTTTTAATAGTGCTTTAATCTGACAGTGGTGACAAACAGTGCCAAGGTGTAGGACAAACACTGTCGTTACCTGGCTGTCCATGAAGGCAGGTCAGGGAGATGTAAAGCGCTCATTATACGTACGGCTGCCACAAGGGAACTTGAAGACGGAGAGGCAGGGGCTCGACTCAAATGCAGGTGTTGGGCTTACAGCACAATTGAGAATTGATGCCATGTGCCAAATTTGAAAATATAAAATTATTAAAAGAAATAGGAATAAAATGACTCACAAAAAGGGCACTTATCTAGACAGAGGGAAGAGGTCAGGTTCTTGAGCACCACCTGGGGTCTTTGCACGTGTCTGCTCATAAGGTTTATCCACAAGAAAGTTAAACGACCTATTTACCTAGTTCAGATTTACTCCAAAAAAAGTGTTGTATTTTTTTCTCATGTTTCTAGAAAACACACATAAAAACAGAAAGTAGAAGATATGACTGTTACATCAGGGGATAATTCCTCATGTTGAACAAGCTGCAGGTCATAAAGTGTCTTTGCTGCCATCTTGCGTCAGTCTTACTGCACTGTTGCCATGACACCACTTACTGTATCATCCTCCATCAGGCAAGCGATGTTACTAGAGTACAAATATATTAATGTGTCATCAATTTGAAATCATATTTAGTCAGATGTGAAAATTCATAAATGACAAAACGCTTTTTGAGTCACTTAAAAAATACATAAAATCACAATTTTGTAATACAGTTTTTAAAAGGTAAATAAATAGCTAAATTTACAAATAAAGTTTTCATGGGAGATTTTAACTACAATTTTAATATATCAACTGTCTCTCTGTTTCCATTTATAAAATCTATTTTATTTGCTAACTCCTCATGACATGTGACAAGAGCGCATGCAAATAAATTAGTGGTGGGGAAAAATGTGTATTGAAAGAGACAAAGTTATTGTAAAAGCTCTTATTTTTCATCTTGTTGGTGACACAGTCAATATCTTTATAACTTGTTCCTCCACAGAGTCTGTCACAGATTAAAGTTGCATTCAGCTGCTCGCTAAGTTACTATAGTACAGCGTTTACATTAATGAGATGGATGTGGTGCAAGAGGTCAGATACCCAGTCAGACTCTCCACCCCCGAATAAACCACAGGATGAAATCCATTTAAATAGCCACGCTGCTCAAAGTTTCTGCCCGTGTTTTCTTCCTCGTTTTCAGCTTTTCTTCGACCAATGGCAGTCACCTCTGACGTCTGAGTGACAGGAGATGTGACCTGCAGGCAGCTGGTCTGGACATGGTGGTGGTCCTGCGGGGCAGAGGTCGTGGACAGGGTTGTGTTGGCGACGTGGGGATCGCACACTAGGCTGTCCTCCCGTAACTCCTCCCACAAGTTACCTGAGAAAAATAAAGAAATATCTGTAACTCTGTAACACAACAGAGCCATCTTTAATGCTACCACTAACACCTGAGTTTTATTCCTATCCATCGTATTGTCTCAACCTGACTCTCGTACCTTGCAGCTGCAGGTCTGTCAGACTGGGGTTCAGCGTGTCGATGTCATAACTGGCATCTCCCTCCAACAGCAGGTCCTGCATGCTCCTGGAGCTGTACTCAGCCTGCAGGGTGCCATTGTACACAGGTGGCATCTTACCAGCCATAGGGGAGTGCAAGCTTCCAGAGGCTGATGGGATGCCAGCTGCTGGCTGCTGTCCACAGGGTGAGTACAGGGCAAATGAGTTGCTGGGGTGAGCAGCAGCAGGGGGAAGGTAGTAGGGTTGCTGAAGCTGAGCGTGGGCATACTGTGGACGGCGACTCGGGAAGCAGGGCGGTCGAAGTGGGGCCGGGGTGCAAGATGACGAGGCGGTGTTGTATATGGGGGCCACTCTGGATAACAGACCTGAGTTGGTGTAAGATGGCAAAGACCTGAACTTCTCTGGTCTCTCCCCCAGTAGACGATCAAGGTCTTCTGTAGAAAACGTGTATTAAATAAAGTTTGAATCGAATAAGATGAACTAAAATTTAGCAACAGGTCAGATCAGCAAACACTGATTAATTCTTGGCATTGACATCTTTCGATAAGTTTAAGGGACCCACCTGGTCTCGCCATGCTCCTGCGAACACTGACGGGGTCCTTGCGACGCCACTTGTGCAGCTCCTCCTGCATTTTCTCCACCTTGGCCGGATTGAGAGCCCACAGACAGCCTTTGCGGGACGAGTTCCCATTTTTGTTCTCCACCTTCTCAAAGCACTTGTTCAGGGAGAGGTTGTGACGCACGGAGTTCTTCCATCCATCAGGAGCTGACTGAAAACAGAGGAGTGGACGGATGCAGAGGATGAGACAACAGATTTAAAGCAGCTGCTTTATAATGTCATGTCAGATTTTTTATGGTATTATTAGGGCTGCTATGTTTTTATGTAGACAAATTTTTCGGCACTATGCCGTGTTTAGTTCCTTTAGCCATGGATAATTCAACAAGAGTCTACAGCAACACCAGCAGTTTTTCCAAGATGCTTATGGTTCAGATGTACTTTCCGCTCTCCATATCTGCAGCAGCTGCGGACTTAGATAGGTCGCACAAATGCACAGGCAGTTCCATACATACTACGACTGACAGTTTGTGCCATTGCAAATTTTAGGCCTCACATAGGTTGCCATAGGGGTCTGTGCAAACTTTCACGGACATGGGCAGATGAAGACATTTACATCACACCGACCAAAGTGGACCCTGATGGACTATCCCTGACACATGGAAAGTATGAATTTGCTTTTACACCCACCAGTGCTTCAAGCTAAATGCTACCATCCAGTGTTGGAGTCAAGACCAGCTAAACCAGTGGTTCCCAACTGGTGGTTCATGGGTCCATTCTGAATGGACTGCAAGTGACTCATGAACATGTCAAGTTTGTAAAAAACACTTTATTTTTAGAGTACAGTGAAATTACAGCACCTAAACCACTGTTCTAAACTGAGACTAAGTCATGACCAAGACCAGAGTGAACTGAGACTGAGACAAGACCAAGAGTTAAAGGGGTTGTGACCAAGTGAAAACCAAGACCAGGTCAGTGTGAGTCCCACACTACTTGACACGCTTACGATAAAATGTGGAACGAGCAAGCCATCACCACTCCTCAAACTGATCTGAAAGATCCATACTCTTATAAAAGCCCCCAGAGAAAACAAATGGACTGTACCGGTGTAGTACTTTTCTAGTCTTCCAACCGCTCAAAGCACTTTCACACTACACATTCACACACTGGTGGCTGAGGCTACCGTACAAGGTGCCACCTGCTACTCAGTAACCATTCACTTGCACTCACACACCGATAAAGCAGCCATCAAGAGCAATTTGGGGTTCAATATCTCGCCCAAGGATACTTTGACATGCGAGCTGGAGGAACTCCACCAAACCACTGATCTTCCAATTAGTGGACGACCCGCTCTACCTCTGATCCACAGCTGCCCCGAATGAAGACTCCTCTTCGTGCATCTCTGTCCATGCATTTTGTATATGTGTGTATGTATATAAATGCACGATGAGGATGTTTTGATAAAACAATCAAAAGGCATTGCAGAGGTGAATTTTATGTATGGGAATGTTCCATTGCTTTGTATGAGCAAACACATACAAACACTAAAGAGCTGAATCAACTTAACCATCTTTGTTCAGCACTCCTTTTTTGCACAAGCCAGTTAGTGATACCCTCGTAGTTGCGGTCTTGAAGTTTGAGACAAGAAAAAGTGGTCTTGAGACCGGTCTCTACAACACTGCTATCATCAGTGTGCTACAGTTTCATGTTAGGACAAAACATAGTCTTTGTTTTAATTTGTATCACACTATACAGTTAAACTATACTTAAATATAATTTTTTCTTGCCAGTAACTTTCTTCGCGTTCAGTAGAGACATCTGGCCTCACTACAGCTCCCACCCACTGCCTGTGTTTCAGTATCTATGTGTCAAATTAAACAAATGATATGAGTGTTGTTTCAAACTTACTAAAATCCACACACAGAAACCAGGACACCCTCCTTACCTGGAGGCCATATGAAAACATGTATTCATTTTTCCACCATCTGCAAAATTTAATATCTGCATGCCATAGCAAGAGTCCACTGAACTGAACTCAGAGGCACTTGATAACATTCTGAAAGATGTATCTCAAAAATCACAACTTTCCCAAAATACGTTCCTCAGAGTATGTATCACTTATCATCTGCTTCATGTGTTTCTGGCCCTGCAGCCTGTGTTTAATGTTACAGGCAGCTGTTTGGAAAGCAGCCATCTATAAGGTGCCTTCTTGAATATGAATGGCAGCAAGTCTCTGAGCTCTTTCCAGAGGTGAGTCTGAACTCATTTGATTTGTAGATACCTTGGTTCCTTTGAAGAATGTACAGTATTTGTGATGACCGAGGGTTCAGACAGAGGTCCAACCCTGCAGCTGCCTCATTTTTATCTATATTAAAACACAAGGGCATGTGTTTAATTCACCAAGCACTCTCTCAACGGGATCATATAATTATGATGTGTCTTTGGTTTTACGATTTGATTTACTGAATGGTGAAACAGTTCGTGCAACATCCTCTTAATGCCCTACGTACACACACACACACACACACACACACACACACACACACACACAGACATACTGCCAACATTAAATAGATACAAAACACCTCCTCATTAAACTCCCTATGCCAGTCTCGTGCCTCAACTGGTTACACCCAGCTGGTCCAGGGCCACCAAGCTGCAGGTGTAGCAGTAAGTCATTTATCATTAGAGAGTAATTACTGTCACCTACAACAAAGATGTGGTTTGGGACCTTTATTTAGAACAAAGAAAACGTGCAAACCTGAATGTGCAAACCTGAACTTGAACCCTTTAGCGACTGTTGTACTATAGAAAGAACATCGACTGATGCAGAGAGACTGCTGGGGCAGAAATTCGAATGGTTTTTTTTGGAGTTGTATGTCACAACCACATGTTGTTTTACAGTCCTGTTTGTGCTGCACAATATGTTGTCTTTTTTTAATTGTGATCGCAAAGTCAACTGGCGTAATAAACACATCACAAAAGACTGCGATATTGTACTTTGAACAGGAATATATTGAGTTACATGTATTGTTGATTTGTCACAGTCTGCTTGCATGCCAGTGGTTTGTTGGACTGGTGCTGCCATATCACTTGCATAGTTGAAAGAGGAAAGTGTGACAAGATGAGTGTGCACAAAAGTGTGAATGCCAGAAAGGAACTAGTGCCTAAAAAAACATAGCACATCACCTGTTTTGCAATGTGTTGAATACAGGAGAGATGACGTGGCACAGGCAAGGGTACTGTGCAAGAACTGAGTACAGATCTAGTGTGTAGGATTTAAAGCCATCTCGCGGTAAGGTTGCAACACTGCAACCGCGTGTAGGAGACCTACGGTAGCAGATCGCCCAACACATTCTCACTACGACCTCGTCACATATTGACATTTTGGTCATGGACTTTCAATGTCCACGTACGACGTGCAAGGTACCCTGGGTGCGTTGGTTGTTGACGTTCTGGGACACTGTGTCAAGTTCTTTTTTTTCAAGATACACTTTCATTTTCACAGGAAATTTAATGTTTACACACCATAAATAGACCTTTTTATTCCTTCAACAACAAACACACATGTTCAGGTTTAGGCAACAAAAGGAAGTGGTTGGGATTAGAAAAAAGAACAGGGTTTGGCTTTAGAATCTCACGGGACGCAAGCACCGCTCTCTTGGGTGAAAGTTGGTGTTTGTTGGACCCATCCAACATCCCTCCCACCTGCCCCACTCTGACTTTTGCCGCCTTAACTTTCATCCTTGTCACGTCGCGTACCATGCTGACCCTAAAGGATGCCTTTTTCGTTGGTTTCTGACGCCGCATGTCACTACCTAAGCGCCAGATTTCGACAACTTTGGAGGGGGACATGTTTGCCACCTTGAGCCAGGGTTTGGTTTGTCTCTTCTGGACTACTGTTGAAACATGGCAGACTCTGCTCAGCATATTAAAAAAAGGAGCTCCTTCAAAGTTGATGAAAACACAACGATTCTTATTTTCAGGTGATTACACACTACTGAAAACATAGTTATGAATATATAGCATTTCTGACAATCCCCCTAAATCCTACAAACTGGACCTTTAATGTCAGTTTATCACAAGTAATAAAATTATCGCAATATTCAATAATGTTATCGTACATTGCATATTTTTCTCTTATCATGTAGCCCTACTTGTGCATATGATAGAGGAAACATTAATTGTAGTACCTTAAAATATGGGAAGTGTTCAGTCATGAAGCTGTAGATCTCACTGACTGGCAGGCTTCCTGTCTTGCTGTTCTTCAGTGCCAAGAAGATCAAGATGCTGCAGTCACAAAGAAAACATTATTTTACATTAGCATTTTATGTACGTGTTATGTGTGGCGCAAACAAAACGCTTAAATTTTAACGTAGCTTAGAGTCACATGAGAATTCTGCATACGACTTCCTGGATAAATGTTAGCAAAGTATGTTGATGCAGTGTTACCTGTATGAGTAAATGGGCTTGGGGAAGAGGGACTGTGTCATGCTCTCGTGGTGTGAGTGAGTGGAGAGACTTTGGAGAGAGTATTTTGAGCTGCTGGACTGTTCACTATTAGGATACAGTTTAGATGAGACCTGTGGAAGACACACACGGATACAAATCATGACCTAAAAAAACATAATAAAAGACAGATACTATGTCTTTCAAAGCCACTATTTATTCATTTTTTTTAATCTGCGGCAGCAAATGTGGCATATGTATCATCCACTGCTTTTGAAACACATTGGATGGCCTTATCTTGGCTCGTGTAATTGCGATACCCTTAAATCGTAAAGGTAAACCTATAACTCCCTCATGAATTGATTAATATACATACACATCCCATCTTCTCGAGCATTCCTCAATGGTTCAACTGACACACTCACTCACCTGCTGCAGAGGGCTTGATGAGCTGTAGGATGAATAGCTTTGGGACATGAAGGGCTCCACTGGTAGAGTTGGTGGTTTTGGGTATGAACTCTGCAGAAATTAGAAAATAAAAGGAAGTTGTTTTGCTCTGTCATTATTGGGCTAATAGAGCAATTGCATTTGAGGCTTCCACTGGCTAGACTCACAAGTCAGTCTTTAGAGGCTTTGTTTAACTAAAGACTGTCCTTCTCCCTGATTTTGTGTTTAGATGGGCGGATACAATTTCAGAGTTTTAAAAAACTCCCTACGTTGCAGAACCAATAGTAAATCTGCAGGGCGGTCCTTCGGTGGCTCGCTGAACTCTTGTGCTTGTAAACATAGTCCGACTGCGTTAAAAGTTTTAAACAAAGTCGCTGTAAGTCCTACATTTCCACAATCTTGTGGACTGAGCACACGTTTGATAAAACGGAGTTAAATCTCTCGGCATACATTTTCAAGCTCTCTGTGTGTTTGTTTCCTTCCTTTTCAAAAATGCAAGAGGTGTTGCTTTGTTGCCGGCCGTTTTCTCCGGTGTGTTAAACACACTTTAGAAAGGAGTGTCCCCAGACTATCCACTGGCTGACCAAGCTAGTTCCAATTTAGCACTCCACTAGCTGGAAGGAGGTTAATATGATTTTGTCATGTGGCTCTCCAAATTTTATCGGACCAAATGGATAAAATCCTGACAAATCAAACACTGGGTCTAGTTGGGGCCACTCGAGTATTTGCGTCAGTCACCAGAGTCAGCAGCTCTTCCGCGTTGAGCTGAACAACGTTGCTGATTTTTATCATGAAACTGCTTTATTCAGTGCTTTTACAGGTTTAAATCACAGTGCCCGTAAAAACCTCCTGACCCTTTGGATCAGAAAAAAAGGTGAGCACACATTAGCAGTTGCTGAGCTAGTGGCCAACCTGCGATGAGCCAAATAGTGTCGAGAAAACAATAATTTGTAGCATGAAACTGCTTTACTTTGTGTTTACTTTTTTTTTGTTAAAAAAAACCTGGTCCATTTGTTTTGGAGAGGAAGAGACCTCTGTGGATAGTTCAGCTCCTGGTAATAACCTCCTGAACAATGAACACTAAAGAAATTTTCAGTTCACACATGGCACACAGGAAAAGTTTTACATGGTTGCGATCTGCAGTCCTCTCCACTAGATTCTGCTAAATCCTACACATTGCTCCTTTAACATTTGCATTCAAATTAATCTTCTATTATAAGTAATGAACACCAATGAGCTGCTTCAGTGTGTGCAGGCATGTGTGTGTTTGTAGTAGTCCTAACATGTGAGGAATAAAGTAAAAGCACATCACTCTTTATTCACTCCCTTTGTTGCTGCTAAACCTTACATACTTCCTATGTCACCTTCCTAATATCAATTCGTCATGATTATTACACAAATTAAAATAATAGGTGAGAATAAAATTAGTGTACCATCAATCTAGAAACCTGAGCGCTGCCGTTGTACTGCTCCCAGGCTGTTGGCACCTCGCCGTTTGAGCCGCGTGAACGAGTGTCAGGGCTGCACACGTCCTGCAGACAGCTGAAGGAGGACTGCTGAAGGCAACCCGCAGCCGGCACTGCTCCATCGCTGAACTGTCGACTGTACGGATGGAAACGATCAGAGTCGACAGGGCCTCGTCCAGATGCTGATCCTAACCCTGTCCCATCAGCGCTGTGTCTCCTGTTCATGTCTGCGGTCCTCACTCTGAAGGTGTTGCTCTCTTGCTGGGTGAGGCAGATGTCCCTGTCCTCTTTGCTCTGTGGTGAGATCATTATCACAGTTTGATCAGAGACAGAAATCACAATCTGTACTAACTGAAGACAAACCCATCAGGGCTGGGTTCAATGTGTAAGATCATGTCTCCACTCCCATTTATGTATCAATAAGCTGCCAAGATGCCAACTACTTACTGAAAATCCCCTGAAGCCATAATTAGGAAACTGTAATAAATACAAAGCCTTGTAACCTGAGCCTACATGCATATTGTTAACAGGGATGGACAGTGAAAATCTGTGGGTGGCACACCGAAACCAAAGACAATAACTGAATTTTAGGGGGTCTATAATGCTGAAATACTACAAAGGTTAGCTGAAAACTATTTCAATATGATAAGGAATCACATACGGATATACATTGCTTTCTCATTTTACAGTTCATGTTATATATTATCAGATGTGTGTTGACACTTGGAGGCACCGCTGCTTAAGTCTTGAAGTTATCAAACCTTTATTTCTCGAGCAGAAGAATATAAGCTTTTTATTTTATTGTAATATATAGACGTTGCACTAACAACAACAATAAAATAAAAAGCTTATATTCTTCTGCTCAAGAAATAAAGGTTTGATAACTTCAAGAGCAGAAGAATATAAGCTTTTTTTTATTGTAATATATAGACGTTGCACTAACATCAACAATTACTTCTGGGTAGACAACTGGCAACTGATTTGACAAGTTAAAGGATCGATTGATTTGACAGGTTGCCTAATTGCTGAAAAATAAGACGTTACAGCAAGCAGCTGGTTAGCCTAGCTTAGCATGAAGACTGGAAACAAGAGGGAAAGCCCTGGCCTACAAGCACAACTTTACCCATCTAAGACAAAGTGTGGAACATAATCCCCCCAAATTTGTTATTTTTAGACTTCAGTTTTTGTACAGATTAAGCAAACAATACACAACTTTAATTTCTGAGCTTTAATAGTGTTGATGACAATTTTTTTTACTTTCACACACAGGGAGGCCAGCCTTTTCCACTTGTTTCCAGTCTTTATGCTAAGCTAAGCTAACTGGCTGTTGGATGTATCTTCATATTTATCGTACAGACACAAGAATGGTGTCTTCTCGTCGAACATTCGGCAAGAACGCAAAGGAGCCTATTTAGGCCTGGGACGATCTGCAATCAAATCATATATTGGCGACTGGAGGGTTGCCAGGCGATTTGCTGGATATCAAGGCGATTTTGAAGAGAAAAAAAAAACGGCGCTCTACCGTGTATTAAGAGATGTTTTTTGGGGAAATACATGACTGTCAGAGAAGCCCTGTTTACAAACAGACCTACAATCCTTCTCCTCTCCTCTCCTCTCCTCTCCTCTCTCTCTTCTCAGCGTAGGGCGCCCTGTCAGCCCTGTGCTGACAGTGACAGGGCGCATCTCTCTGATCCGAAGTGACACAGCCCGTTTGCTCATGCTTCGGGGTCGTTCAATAGAGTAATTGCAAATAAATATTGTTTTAATGTGTAACTATTGAAATGTTCACAAGAGCTTTCATAAATTCCTACAATGTTGCAGCACTGCCACCTTTGCAGGTTAAAAGTTAATGACAGCGACTTGAAGTGAGGAGGAGTAACACGTCTCCGGCTTGAGACGCTCACTATTGCATGTGATGCAAAATATTAAAATAACGTCATTATAACACAAAAAATATAAAAATGCGGTGGTAGGCCTAGGCTATAGCCTATACCAAGGATGTAACTCCCTCCACCCCACCCCCTTGGCAATTTAATCGTTTTTTGGCAATCTAGAGCAATGACAATCCACAATATGTATATGAGGCAATCGCACAGTCCTAAGCCTATTTCCCAAAATGTAAAGTAAAGGTAAAGGTAAAGTTCCACTGATTGTCACACACCTGAATGTGTGAAATTTGTTCTCTGCATTTGACCCATCCCCTGAGGGAGCGGTGAGCAGCAGCGGTGCCGCGCTCGGGAATCATGTGGTGATCTAACCCCCCAATTCCAACCCCTGATGCTGAGTGCCAAGCAGGGAGGCAATGGGTCCCATTTTTATAGTCTTTGGTATGACCCGGCCGGGGATCGAACCCACGACCTCCCAGTCTCAGGGCGGACACTCTACCACAAGGCCACTGAGCTGGTAAACTACTGGTGTTGAGAGGGGAGTGCCACCTAAATTAAGAATACGCTTTTTTTCCCCAGGGCATAGTTAAGTCAATATTTGTGAATATGAGCTACTCTCTCTTAAAGCCAAAAAAGTGTCAAACTTGTGATGAGTGATGTGAAGTCTGTAGTTTGGAGCTGCTCCATAGATAATAAATGGGAGCCCCACTAAATGTTTAGTTTTCTTTTTTTATACCCAAATGAGCTTTATTCTATTCATCTATATTATTCTGCTATACTCAGAACATCTTCCTGTATTTTCTACCAGTATTTTTGGACTGTCTTAGACCATTAGAGCGACATGTATGAATTTTGAAAATGGGCATAGTTTCCAGTACAGCAAGTGGTAAAACTAAGAGGTTGTTAGAAATACCAGTTAAGGTTAGCCATTGTTAGCAATACCACTAAATAACAATGCATTACATTACATTACAATGCATTATTGACTGTTTTAATGAGACACAAATAAGACAGAAGTGCTAATAAACAGTGTATAACTACAGTTTTCACTGCTGTTGATGCGCAGAGCAGCCTTAATGGATTTTGGTTGCAGTTGGTAAGGTTCCCTCGACTTTTCGAGATGCAAATTCAATTTCAAGGGGCACTCCAGTTGAAATTTCCAACAAGGAACACAGACATTCCCCAGTGTGATTAGTTTGTCTTTATAAATACAGATCAATTGCAGAGTAAAACAGTTGTCTTTGGAAAGCCCATGAAAAGCAAAGGCCATTTGCCCGTGTACAAGCAGAGCCAGAACAGATGTTTTATTTCAAGTGTTTCTCAGGAAAAGCCTGTTCTGGGTTAAAACAGAAAGGCCCAAGGCAGCTCAGTACCTGTGATTCTGCCATCTGCTGGCAGGACATCACATGAGGTTCACAGGTGTGTAGCCTGGCCTGAGGGGTTGATGTTTGAGGCTTGCTACTAACGTGAGAATCTGACATTCTGCACCAAAATCTGCTCCTGTGAAGAGATGGAAAACAGGATAAACTTGAGATGGGAGGGGGAAATCTATCATTCGTCAGTCATCTATATTAAATCAGTGGGGGTTTGCATAATTTGCAATGGACAACATTTTGTGAAATGCGCCTGTGCACCTTTAAGTGTCAAATAAGATAATTGATACTATTCTCATGTCTGTACAGTTATGCTAAATATGAACTTATCACCAGCAGCTAGTTAGCTTAGCTTAGCTTAGCATTAAGAACACAAACAGGGGCTTTGCGGAAGTGCCAAAAGCTGCAGTTCCTCGAATGGCCACTTGAGGCTGGCTTCACAAGAGAGTCAATCCCCATAGACCCCCATGTTGAAATGTCCAACTTTACAGCAGAAATGAACATGTTTACAGCCTGGCACAAAAACGGTTTTGGTCTCTATAGCTAATTTCCCCGTTCATGACAACTGTATGGGGGATGAATGTTTACATACTTCATCTGATTACATTTGATTAACGATTAAAGTTAGGCATAGTTAAGGGCGGGGCTGCCTTGAGTGTCAGGCTTTCTTTGACGCATCACAAGCCTAGCTGGCACGTTGAACTTTTGGTTGAAATGAAAATCGGGCTGACGATATTTTAAATATCAAAGGATGTTAGAATTTCACATTGTGTAAACGTTAACATGATGACGTTTTGCAAATGTGGGGTTTTGTTCTCCCTCTCTTTGACTTAATGTCATTATTCTATGTCAAGATTTCATTGACATTAAGACATTGGATCTTGGTTACTTGACAACACAACTTACAACCAACAAAATATCAACGCCATCTGTCCTCATTATTCTATGTCTAATTGACTTTGGCATCAGACATTGTCCTGACATTGAATTTTGGTCACCGGACATCACAGCCTAAGTTCAAGCAAATATCGATGTCAAACGACGTTGGTGGCCAGCTGGGACAGTCTCATCCAAATATGGTCACTTCTGGCTCCAAAACTCCAAGATGACGACAGCCTAAATGCCAAACTAAAGGCTACAGAATGGAAGTCAGCAAACCAGTGGGTGACATCACAGTGACTATGTCTATGATAGAAACATCTGTAAACATCGTAGTGGCGCCACTTGGCAGATTTTGCTTCCAGTCTTTATGCTGAGCAAAGTTGCTGGCACCATATTTACCATAACAGAAATGGCAGCAGAGCGTTATTTATCATCTTTAATAGTTAGCAAGAAATCATATTTCAATCAATATTTTTGCCAAAACATCAAACTATTCCTTTGAATTGACCCTTCAATAAGTCCCGCCCCCAAGTGCAGACTGACCAATCATAATGTCACATCAGGCCAGCTCAGACCAGGGTTTGACAGGGTTCACTTTTACACTGTGATCTGTAGCCTATAGTTTGGCTTTAGCTTCTAACTATCTTTGTCTTTTTAACCTGTTGCTGCTGCTGAGTCAGTTTAACATCCTGGATATATCCTTCAAACACAGACTGTAGACCCCTCTGTCTGCTTCTCTCTGGAATCACTGTTTCATTTTTCCAAAAATATGATAATCTTTGTACAGGGAGTGCAGTTAGTTACAGTGTGAGCTCCATGTTTACTTTGACAGCTTGTTGGACCATCACAAAGTGGCGGGGCTTAGAGAAAGGTCAACTGTGGAATCAGTTAAGAAAGGAAAATGCAGAAAATCAAGCTGTTTGTTTGATTTATATTGCTGTTGGCACATGACAGGAAGCATTTCCAAAGTGTTTTAGCAAAGCACTTTGTGTCACTGATCCCATGAGATCATATCTACAGAGTCATTATTCTACTGTAAATCTGCGAGACACACTACACTGTGTCCTCTGACAGTTCATTTTCAGTGCCAGTTTATTAAAACACCACAGTTTGACAGTGGTGGGTGTACATGTTGCAGGGGATTTATCCGGCCGAGTGTAAAGAAGTG